GATTGATTGATTGATTGATTGAATCAGAGGTGGGAAACAATGGCCCCTTTATGACTTGTGGACTTCAACTCCCAGAAGTTGAAGTCCACAGGTCATAAAAAGGCCATAGTTCCCCTCCTCCCCCCCCCCCCGCTCTTAGACAGCATGGCTGACAGGGGAATTCTGGGAGTTGAAGTCCACAAGTCAGAAAAGGCCATCGTTCCCTACCACTGGATTAAATGATTGATTGGTTGACTATGACATCAAGTCATTTTCGGCTTCTAGCAACCATGTAGATTGATTTTCTCCTTGACAAACTATCCTAACCTGGTCTTCTAATGGGACACTCATCAGTACTGTTAACAGGGGTGGGATTGGACTGGTTCAGACGAACCGGTAGCTCCAAAGATCAGCTGGGAGCGAACCGGTTTGCTCCCACTAGCAAGTGGGCCAGCCCGCCCACCTCTGCACTTTACCTACCTTTATCTTCTCAGCTGAGCCGCGCGGAATAGTGGATTGCCGCACCTCAGCTGTTTTCCTTTTCAAGCAGTATTCAGGAAGGTAAGTCTTCTGTAAACTACACGCGCAGCGAACCAGTTGTTAAACTGGTAGGATCCCATCCCTGGTACTGTACTGTGTCTATCTACCTTGCTGCTGATAGCAATAGCATTTAAACTTATACACTGGTTCACAATGCTTTACTCTCTAAGCGGCTTACAGAGTCAGCATATTGCCCCCCCTCCCCTTCTCTTTCCTTCCACCTTTCCAAGCATTGGAGCCTTATCCAAGAGCCTCCTTCATGTAATGTACAATAATTTGAACCTGATAAAGTGAGAATTCTGGGGTGATGTGTTTGATCCACAGTGTGTCTTGTCCAACCCTAACATTCAGAAAGTGCCCGTGCTCTTCCTATTCTGCTTCTTCAAAGCCCAACTTTGACTTCCATAAAGTGTCACAGAAAATACCCTGGTTTGCACTATTCTGATCTTTGTAGGTATAGTCACATCATGCTATTTGAGGAGTAGTTTTAATTTGGACTTAGTTTATTCATGCCGCCCAGCAATCACCCATAGAAATCCTGTTTCTATGAAGCAAATTTGCCCTTGATCAGATGTGAGTCTGGTTGATTGTATGGGCACCTGGAGCAACATGGAACTGGCTTGCTTTCTTCTATTGCCCTCTTCATGAGTTCTATTACATCCAAGCATAGAGTTCACCTCTGGCATTTTTTGATGTCCTTTCATCCATGCACTATCCAGGTCCAACCCTTCTCTGATTTTTCGACATCAGCAAAAGTTGGCTAGGTGCTGCCACCTGCTGTTACATCTAAGCTTCTCTCTCTCTCTCTCTTTCCCTCCCTCCCCACCTCACTGTAAGTTAACAAATGAATTGAAACCTATTGGAGAATCAGAACAAGATATAGTCTCCTTGTTCCTCCAAATTTGGCATGATTTCTAGGACATTCAAATCAGGAATTTCAAGAATAAAGGCGTTGTTGGTACAAGATGTTGGTGATAAAAAAAAAATCTTGCTGGTTAACTGATGGGCTTGTAAATATAAAGGAACAGTCATTTAGAAATTCCAGAAATTAAAAGTATTGTTTTGAAGCTAAGGTAGCAACATTATACAGGCTGACATATAAGAAGAGGTTTTGCTGAATTCCCTAGGGCAGCAATGGCGAACCTTTTTTGGCTCACGTTTCATAAGGGGGGGAGAGCGCAGGGGGGTTGTGCGTAGGCGTGCCGCACCCATAATGCAATGTGTGACCCACCCAGTGCAAATACACTTATGAGAGGCGCTCCCCCCCCCCAATTTGCATGCTTTTCTCACCCTCCCAGGCTCCGAAGGCTTTATAGGAGCCTGGAGAGGGCGAAAAGCCCTACAGAGGCTTCAGGGACCTTCAGGAGGCTTCCCTGAAGCCTCTGGAGGACTAAAAAACCAACCCTACGAGCAAATCGGAAGTCACTTGCAATTTCAATCTGAAATTTTAAAAATAAGCCTCATATGGTTCCTCTAGTATTATAGTTGAAGTCAATTATTCGTCATTACATTGTTATATTTTTGCTAATACTTTAACAAAAATATATATTGTTAAGTTTTATAGATCAACAAATTACCCCTATTTTTCTTCTTTTACTGTTTAAGTCCAGATAGATGGATAGAAAGACAAATAAATATAAGATTTATTAGGTTCATACCTTTATGTGTAAATACAATAAAAATTAAAGGAAGAAAACAACAATACCTCATAAATCTAAAGAATCAGCAGGCACCTTCACATGTTTTTGCGCTATGATCCATGTATCGGCATCTTCCAAGATTAAAAATTTAACGGTCTTGAGAGTTGCTGGCCATTTAACTTTTTTTCTTTCTTTCTGGGAGACCCCATCTTTCTATAGGTGGTCCTTGACTTACGACCACAATTGAGCCCAACATTTCTGTTGCTAAGCAATACAGTTGTAAAGTGAGTTTTGCCACATTTTACAACTTTTCGTACCATAATTGTTAAGTGAATTGCTGCACTTGTTAAGTTAGTAACAGGCTTGTTAAGTGAATCTGGCTTCCCCGTTGACTTTGTTGTCAGAAGTTTGCAAAAGGTGATCACATGACCCTGGGACACTGCAACCGTCATAAATACATGCCAGTTGCCAAGCGTCCGAATATTGATCATGTGACCATGGGGATGTTGCAGTGGTGAAAATCTGTCATGAGTCACTTTTTTCAGTGCTGTTGTAACTTCATACATCACTAAAAGAACGGTTATAAGTAGAAGACTACCTATATATGAATTATTGCCAACCCCAATGTGCTATTTCTGTATTCAGACAATTGCTGTATCTGTTGTGACACAGTCTAGATATTATTCAGGCTGTGTACAGTTCCAAGAAGCTACTCCAGAAACTTCATTTTTCCATAGATTCCTCTTATACATATGCCGATCTCTCTCTCTCCCTCTCTCTCTCCCTCCCTCCCTCTCTCTCTCTCTCTCTCTCTCTCTCTCCCTCCCTCCCTCTCTCTCTCCCTCTCTCTCTCCCTCCCTCCCTCTCTCTCTCTCCCCCCCCTGTCTCTCTCTCCCTCTCTCTCCCTCTCTCTCTCTCTCCCTCTCTCTCTCCCTCCCTCCCTCCCTCTCTCTCTCCCTGTTTCTGAAGCTACTATGTTAAGCTGTCTTTCATCGGTGCCTGAAAGTTTAGGAGAATTGCACATAAACTAAAAATTCACTCATTACTCATGTCTTCTGGCTACACATTGAGTCTGATATGCTGAAGCCAAACCGAATATGGCATGGAACTTCAAAATGCATAAGAGGAATCTAAAACAGTGTATTTCCTCTAGAGTTCAATGGGGGGGCGGGGATGCCGTTGATGGACAGACCCCCATTAGCTTCCTTTTAATTTACATTGGTATTAATAGATAGGAAGTTGCTACCTCCAGAGCGTACAAGAAAGCAAATCTGGGCAATAAATTTACGGTATTTTGAGGCAATCTGCAGCTGGAAAAAAAAACTAACATGATTAATGAAGAGCTGACAGGATATTTGTTTATAATTGGATGCCCTATGACCAAAATATTACTTTTTTCTTTTGCTTCAAATTGCTCATGGTGTAAGTCCTGCATCTTGTCCTTTAGATTACTTATTCTCTCTGTGTAAAGTTGTAAGCATCTCTTCAGTCATTACAGTAGACGCCAGGTGACAAAGCAGACACATGGATACTTGGATTGTAGACATCTAATAATTGGCATAAATAATGGTGACTTATTTGTTGTTGTTCTGCATTTTTCCTACTCTGAATTCCTATGCAAATACCACTCCTTTAAGCTCAAAGTTCAAAAATAGTTTAAAAAAACCACGAAGAGATTTGGAACAGTGGTCCCAGCTCTTGATAAAATATCTTCTTCTGGAATGACTCAATATGGAATCAATTGATAGAATGAACCAGGAAGCACCATCCTTCTGCTGCTTAGTTTGCAGTACCCCTGAATGTTATTTTGAACTAGCTGATAACCCGGCGATGCCTGGGTATTTATTTATAGGGGGGGGGGGGACATCCAGACCAAACGTAATTTCTAATGTTGGATTGTCCCCTTTAACAGTGGGAGCCCCCTTGTGGAGTACTGCGAAGCTGTTACCATGGCAACTCCACTGCACTCTGCAATAGAAGCCATTTTACGGCAGTACAGTAGAAGCCATTTTAAGGCACAACAGGCTGTATCTTAATAGAATACACACTCCGAGGGGTTTTAAGGGTGTCTTACCGCCAAAATATTTTTTTCCAGAGAGTAAGTCAACTGTGTACCAAGTTTGGTTGAAATTGCTCCAGGAGTTCCAGAGTTAGGCTGGAACATACACACACAGAAAGAGCTCTTTTTATATAGAGAGATTAGTCTGAACAAACAGTTTTTTCAGGCTTCCAGTAATCAGAATGAGAGCCAGATCAACATAGATGTAACCACTTGTTTACCAACAGTTCAAATTTACAATGGCACTGAACAAAGTGACTTACAACTGGTCACATTTGGGTGACATTTGGGTGCTTGGCAATGAGCATGTTATTTATGATGGTTGCAACATCCGAGGGTCATGTAATAATCATTTGAGATAGTCTCTGTCTGTGCTTCTGACAAGCAAAGTCAATGTGGGAGGAAGCGAGATTCACTTAATGTCTGCATGATTCACTTAACAACTGCAGTAACTCATTTAAGAATCATGGCAAAAAGTTTTTAAAATCAAGCACAATTCACAGCTTGCTTAGCAGTGGGAATTCTGGTCTCAGTTATGTCAAAAGTTGGGGACTACCTGTAGTGATTAAAAGCACAGAGTTATGTTTTCATTGCATTTTGTGCTATGCTATATTGACATGGTTACAAAAGTAAATGTAATTACTTATTTACAATAATCTAGAAACTGGAGGACTGTGAGTTGTAGTCCTGCCTGTGGGCTTTTTCAATATGGACTCTCTTTAAAATTACAAAAAGTTATGTTCTTGTGTAAATTTATCAGTGAAAATATTTTCTTCCTCTAGTTTCCTAGACAAGATTGACATAGTCAAGCAAAATGATTATACACCATCTGACCAGGTAAGTAATAATGTCTTTTGAGAAAATGAAGTTACGTTTCTTCAAAATTTGTTCTGTTCAAAACCTGAAAGAAGCATTGTGTTAGTAGTTTGAGTAGAGCTGAGCTGGGGCGCTGAGCTCGCATGGCCGCTGAGAGGGCTTTGCATGCCACCTGCATGTGGAACGCGTGCCATAGGTTCACCATCATAGGTGTAGACATTTAGCCCAGTGCTGTACTGGAAAATTTTTAGTTTTCAGAAGTCCATGAATATGACTATATGATGAAGAATCAGAAGAAACTTGTTTTCATTCCTACTGGTAGAACACCATATTTATGTAATAGATATCCCAAGTCATAGTGTTGTCATCTCTTTTCAGGTTGCTGGTAGACCAAAAGCAGAGTGTAGTGATTTTATCTAAATAAGCAAAAAATGAAGAAAAGCTATATTTTTTTCAAATTAGGCTACATTTCAGCTCATTTGGGAGGGAAAAATTAAAATCCAATCCATAAATGAATAATCATTATTCAAAAATACTTTTCTATTTTATTGGGGGGGACGGGACCATACTGTTATAAACACATACAATTAACTTTTATAAACAATAAAGATATTTTTTAACATAGAGGATATTAAAAATAAACTACTACCTATATTTTATTTTTCCAGAACTTCTTTTTCTTTTCCTCCACATTTTTCAGACGTTTTTATCTCTTAACTATAATCCACATCAAAATGAGAGAAGGTTTTAGAAATGTGTCTGTTTTCCATGGTTTCACATTTTCCTTTGTGTCATGGTTTTCTGAGCTTATGGGTTGCTGTTTTTATAAACTGATTGTTTTGTTTCCAAGATGTTAGTATATTTTAAACAGTTTCTTAACTTTACAAATTTTATTTATTATGGTAAGCGGCTTTGTGTTGCTAGGTAGAATTAGAGGAAAGGGAAGAAAAAATATGAGATTAAAAACCTGAGATATAAATTTTATATTACCGTGCACTTTTTTACAAAGAACCTAAAGTTGTTATTTCATTGACCCATTATTCCCTAAGGCTGGTATTTTTTAAAAAATAGAATGTTGTTTTAAGGGGGAAAAAACTCTTACTATTCTTTTTTTTTAGGACCTTCTTAGATGCAGAGTTCTGACATCAGGAATATTTGAAACCAAGTTTCAAGTCGACAAAGTAAATTTCCAGTAAGTGTCACTAATAGCGGGTGCTTAAATTGAGACTGGGCATTACACTAACAGTGAGATAGTAGAAATGTACAAAATATTCCATAATATAGTGATCCAACTTGAGAAAAAGCCAATTCAGGCAGAGTTTTTCCTATATTTCTGGAATGGTTTATGGCCAGACAACATTTGGAATAACATAAAGCACTTCAGCATCCAGACAGTCTAATTTGAGAAATAAATTAACACTCAGTCCTACCCCCATCCTCTGTGCTTATATTGACCTATTTTGGAGGAAAACATAATGTTCCAATAACATGTCCATGAAAAATTAATATAACTATATCCATGTTGTGGTAATTAAAAGTTTTGTCCTGTTTTATTTTTGTAGACATCTAAGTTAGTTTTGAAAAGGGACGCGGTGGCTGAATGGCTAAGACGCAGAGCTTGTTGTTCACAAAGGTCTAATCCCTAGCGCTGTATAATGGAATGAGCTCCTATTACTTGTCCCAGCTTCTGCCAACCTAGTAGTTCGAAAGCATGTAAAAATGCAAGTAGAAAAATAGGAACCACCTTTGGTGGAAAGATAACAGTGTTCCATGCGCCATTGGCATTGAGTCATGCCAGCCACATGACCACGGAGACGTCCTCAGACAGCGCTGGCTCTTCGGCTTTGAAACAGAGATGAGCACCGCCCCCTAGAGTCGGGAATGACTAGCACATATGTCCGAGGGAATCTTTACCTAAGTTAGATTTGAGGGCCAGATTCATATAGTGGTTAAGGTTTCAGGCTAGAAACCAGGAGACTGTGAGTTCTAGTCCTGTCTTGGGTACAAAGCTACTGGATGACCTTGGGCCAGTCACTTTCTTTCAGCCCTAGAAATGAGACAATGGCAAACCACTTCTGAAAAAATCTTGCCAAAAAATCTGCGGAGACTTTTCCCAGCAGTCTCCGAAAATCAGACACAATTAAAAAGAAGATGAACGTTAGTTTTAGCTTTTTTTGTAAGTATCAAATTTTCAAATAATACAAATACATAACTACAGCAACTAATAAAAATTTCACCCTAATAATGTACTTCAATTTTTAGCTTACAATATTAGTTATTGGAGGGAACACCTTCAAAGAGCAAGCTGGAAAGACATTTGGAATATATATTTGAATAATGCCAGTGCTTGTTTTCCATAATTCTAATAGCATTTTTTTTTGCGGCCTGCAGCGGGGGGGGGGGGGTGTGTGTCTTTAATAATCTTGTTTCCCTGGTTCTGAATCCCTCACCCCCTTTTTTTTTTCTTTTCAGTATGTTTGATGTTGGTGGGCAAAGAGATGAACGTCGAAAATGGATCCAGTGTTTCAATGGTAATATTCAGGAATCTGTTAAACCTGTGATAGACTATGAATATTTTCCATGTAATATAAACTGTATATTATATTAATGTGGAAGTCCAGCTTTCCAATTACCTGAATACCAAATATATACTATTTGGCATTTTGAGGTTGTCTCCATACCAGCTCAGCACTTTAACTCACTACATGCTTATTTTCAGCATGTAGCTTTCTTTATAAATTTAATCACTTATGATTAAATTACAAAAGAGGAATGGATATTCATCCCCTCCTTCTCTCCAGTGGTGGGTGCCAGATCCCGGTGCAACCAGTACGATGCAATGGGGCCGGGCGTCCACCACATGAATGCGCACAGCGCGCACATGCATACTTACTGCCCGCGACGCTCCAGCTGCTCGGCAGAGCGTCGCACAGGTGCTATACACTCCACGCATGTGCGCAGAAACTTCAAATGCCGATAAGGAGTGCGGGCAGGTGGGTGGGCCCTCCGGAGCACCATACCGGAACGGTACCTGGTGCTCCTGGCAGGCACCGGTATGCCCATGCTGGGGTGTACCGGTCGTAACCCACCACTGCCCCCCCTCTCTCTTGTCTCAGTCTCTCTCTCTGTCTCTCTCACACACACACACACAGAACTGCATGTTTTATTCATTTTTTGACCTACAGTATGTATCCTACAAAATATCTTTTTTCCTCCAATCACATTAGAGCTACATTTTAGCTGATTTTTACTCACTCACTCAGTGAGTGAGTAAGTTAGTTTTTTTCTTTTGAACTTGTTCTTCTCTAAGTGATTTATTCACGTTTGAACACCTTTTCCCTAAGCTTTTCCATTTTCTATCTTTTTTTCTTTATGGAGCCGAATTAAAGAAAAATACATTCAAAGCCAAAGAGTATTGATTAAGGATGTTTTCCTTTGCTTTTGTTTTTTTTAGATGTAACTGCTATAATATTTGTGGTAGCCAGCAGTAGCTATAACATGGTTATAAGAGAAGACAATCAGACCAACCGGCTTCAAGAAGCATTAAACCTCTTCAAAAGTATCTGGAACAACAGGTCCGTCTCTTTAGTTTTGACCAATCACGTCATTCGTAATGCTAGCTTATGTTTTTTTCTATCTGTATCGTGTAAGACACCGAACCCGTGCTAATATAAATTCTAAGAGAATGCACATTATTTCAGTGAAGTATGGGTTTTTTGTAAAACGTATTCATCTATTTATTAAATTTAGATGCCACACTTCTCACTATCAAGCGACTCTGAATAGTTAATATAATGTCTTTAAAAAATTGCTTTATGTTCCTTTGTACCTTGATTGTTTTATTGCCATTTTAACGGTATATGGGTCTGTTTCTCTAGGTGGCTACGGACCATTTCAGTTATTCTTTTCCTGAACAAACAAGATTTGCTAGCAGAGAAAGTTTTGGCAGGCAAATCAAAAATTGAAGATTACTTTCCAGAATTTGCTCGTTACACAACCCCAGAAGATGGTAAGAAAGTTGATAGTACAATTTGAAAAATGTTTTTCTCTATTACTATAAAAGAAAGAAGTGAGAGAAAGAAAGAAGGGGTTGATTTTTCCTGCCCTAATCTTTATGTGATAACAATTGTGTATAAAAATTGTGATAAACAATAACAATAAATGTTATATACAATTGTTATAAACAATGAACAATTGTTTATGATTTGTAACTCTTTTTTTGTGATCACTAATTGTTATTATATTAGGTTTGATGCAGTTCTCTGTCTCTCAAACTGTTTGCAGTATAAATCAGACTAATGTTTGATCCAAGGATGGAGTACTGTCAGTGATAGGCTTCTGTTAAAAATTGAATAAATTGAGTCCATACTTTTCAGGGTAAGCAATGAAGACCCTTCCAAGTATCATCAAAGTACTGTAGCTCCAAAATATTTTTCCTCTCTGAGACAGAGCAGAATATATTGACCAAGAGGATTCCTTCTGTTAACAGAAAACTTCTAAATTCTTTGTATGAGTAAAAAAAAAAAAAAGTCTCTGATTCAATGAGATCCTTTTCTTTTTGTACTTTTTTCAGTAACATTTTATGATCCTTTGTAGTTTCTAGACTGGTTCACTTTTTGAAGTGATTATTCACTATATCTCTCTTTCTATAACAGAAGACCGAAGATCTCTGCAAGCAGGTCACACACAGTCCCCAACACTTAAATTGTGGTTCCAGAATATCCCAGATCACAGGTCCAAAATTAAGTGACAAAACAGTTACTGCAGAGGTCCCCAACCTTTCTGGCTTTGCAGATTGGCGAGAGTGGAGGGGAGAGGGGATGGTTTCATTGCGAGTGGCAGGCAAGCACACGCAGCTCTATTTCCATGAGCACCAGACGTGCGCACCCACCACTCACGCAAATGGAGCATGCATGCGCCTGCCGGCTACTCCCACAAGTGGGGATGCATCCACTCGCCCACCACTTCTGCGGCCTGGTTCTGAACAACTCTGTGCCCAGTAGTGGGCCACAGCCCAGGGGAATGGGGACCCCTGAGTTAAGGCATCTACTCATTTTCAACAAGCCTGTCCCAACCAATGGTTCACCTTAAATCTCCTTAAGATCAAAAAATAAATAGGAGAAAATAGTGTAAAATAATGTGTGTTGTTGTTTGAATTTCACTTCTTTATCTGAAACATTTTAATTAATTTTAAGTGAATGAGTCTCAGTGAGATTTATTTATTTTTATTTAAAGAATGTATATGGCTACCCACTCGCTTTCAGTGACACTCGGTGGCTTCCAAAAAATAAAATCCCAATATGCAAAGAGTAAAAACAATAACCCCCTACCCTTTGTGCTTGTTAGCGTTTTGTTAAAGCCATTTGAGTGCAACAATAATAATGAAAATGCAGCTTCCAGCTGATCCACTCTTCTAATAGGCAGCCCTTCATACAACGTGAGTCTATATTTAAAGAGGTATTTTGCAATGCTTATGCTTTTTGGCACTAAAATATTTTCTTTAATCCCTCCTGTGAATCAAAATAAAAGTAATTCCTATTGCAAGATAACCTTTTTTTTTTTGTTCTTTACTTTTTTTTTTTAAATGAGCAGCAACACCAGAACCTGGCGAGGATCCTAGAGTTACAAGGGCCAAGTATTTTATTAGAGATGAATTTCTTGTAAGTAGGATCTCTTTACTGTTCCTGTTTTTATCAGACATGACCTTGCTTCTGCTTGCTTTTACCGTCAGCTACATTTAGAGCTTTTTAATTTGTTTTGTTTGAGAAGCGTCTCCGTAACTGTGCAAAGCAGAAATGCCATTTGATGGACATTTCTGAGATGTGATTTGAGTGACCAAGTCTTTTAACTTGGGGCATTAAAGGGAGTCCTCCTAAATATTGTGATTGTTAAACAAAAACCTCCCAAAATCATGTGACAGTGCCAAACATATGACATCACTGTGCTTCCGTCGTTAAGTGAATCCCTGCATTTATGAATCGAGGCATTGTGTGACTACAACTTGTGATTTCATTTAGAGCAGGGGTGTCAAACTCGCGGGGTCACGGCAGTGTCACGTGACATCGGGACTTTTTTCCCCTTTGCTGAACCGGGCGGGGCGGAGCCAGCACGAGGTGCATTTGGCCCGCAGGCTGCAAGCTTGACACCCCTGATTTAGAGAATACAGAATAAATGTGTGGTTTAGGCAGGAAAAACTATATACCATTTCAGACAAATGGTTGTCCAATCTCTTCATAATAACGTCA